AATATAGTCGGTCTCAAAGTTGTTCCCAAAGTAGACGGAACAGACACGAAACGCAATCGCAGCTAAAACGCAGAATCGATCTGGTAATCGTATGCCGAAATCTTCCGTCATCGAGATGCAGGAACGAGGCCACAGTAGTACCGTTTCATTTACTGAAAGAAATCAGTGGTGACAAAGCATATTTAAATAGAGGTATCATTGGTTTACGGACATCAACCAATCATCGTTGTTGTTTCACGAGTCTTAAAACTTTTGTCTTAATTGCACAGCCTATAATCATAGGCTGATATTGTTGACATGTGGTCTAATGTACAGAAAATGATTCCCGCAGCTGTAACGCTGGCATTACCTTCGCTGGCTGAATCACCGCAATTCCATTCAGGTAAAGAATACTGTATACCACCAAACTATTTGATGCACGAGTGTCTGTATGCGTAATGGTGTATAACGGCATAAAATCTCTAATCGATTGTCCCAACTTTTTTGTGCAAACGTAACTGAGAATAAATTGATGCGCATTGGGATTTTCGGATGGTGAGATTAAGGAGGAACAGATCAGTGTGAGTTTGGCAAGTAATATCTACTTCCTCTTCAACATTGACAAAGTAACTGACGAATTTTTCTCAATGTGATATTTTAGGATCTCTGTTTCGTTCACAGTGTTACTTGCATTCCACTTCGGTACAGAAACGGTACAACATTTAATTATTCAACCGGTTTTACATAATATAAAGCTGGGTAATAAATAGTTGGCTCAAAGTCGCACACCGTGCTTGTTTCCATCCAAACTGTCGTATTTGGTTACGGCAGTTGGGCTATTGGGTCCCCATTTATTCTCAGTTCGTGGTTCTTTTCATACTGCTTTCTTTGTATTGCCTTAAATGGATAACAGGATGAGAACACGTAAACTGTGCATATGGATGTGTTTGGGTGTTAGTGTTTCATCGCATGACCAGTCCGTTCCAGTCATATGAGTTGAGAACTTGATCAACACAGTCCAGCTGTGTGTTTGACCCGCGGGCACAAGAGACACAACAGTAACAGGAATGATGAGGTAATTCGATATACAGTTTGACAAGGGTAGGATCGTATAGTTACTAGGACAGATGCTACGGTTGGAAACCGCAAGGGATGCAGAACCGTACACGTGTCAATTCGTATTGAGCGATAAAGCTGGATATCGTTGTGTATGAAGGTCACACCATGTTTGTACTCTCACATAGTTTCAGTCATCATGAAGATCGAAATCTCCAAGATTACGACCACTACTTTGACACCAGTAGGTTTTACTACAGCTGATTACAGGGTCTTCAAGTGTTGCCATCAGCATGAATAACTATGTTTACTTTGAAAGCGATTGTTGTTGAGTGGTAAAGGTTACACAGAATTATACTAGTTATTGTTACTGTTCTTAATTTTCGTATTGGTCGTCTGAGTAGAATAAGTTGTATTTGTGGTCATTTCTCATGAAGCATCTGCTATCGGTAAAGCATCACTTTCCAGTTCATCAAAAGGAACAGAAAAACCCGAGTGTGCACGCCACCAAGTTACTCTTTGTCGCATTACTCGGTCGAAAAACTTCACCGGTCCAGCATTCACTCACTGTACCCCAGGTTACCGGACCTAAGGTGAAACTCTGAAACAACATGCACATAAGTTCGTCGTACATCGGCTGTTCATGCAAATCCTGGTTAAAGCTGGATAATAAGGGCTAACTGGTGCTGATCAATGGACAGGATTGTGTCTGATAAGATAAATTTTAACGGTAATGCAGAGAAATCCAATATCTCTCTCAGTATCCTCTGATTGAAGATGGCTGACTGATTGACACCTACGTCTTTTCCAGTCCTCGTCCGGCATAGAACTGATATCATCATCAAAACGTTCGTAAATCTTTTTAACCTTCAGACGGATTGGATCCTAGTTTGATCAGATGATAATCTGTTTTTTGTCTCAAGGAAATCTCAGCCACAATGAAACCAATGCGAATTTCATTTCGGTAGACCCACTAACGTCAACCCTCCCACCATCACATGTAATTCTGTACTACATAAATCCGTTACTGACCGCTTCTAAATTCAAATCAGGTATTTCAATTGCTAGTTAGCCCTTTCGCTTCGTCAAGTAAAAACACATACTCACAAAAATATTCAAGTTTTGCGCGAATGAATTCTATAAAGTCCCGTGTACGCGATTCCCTTAATGTCTTCAGTTCGTTGATTTCCTCCAAGTGATCATTTTGGCGTGGGAGTGACCTGTTTACTAAAAGAAAAAATATTCGATGAAAACACTGTTCATGATCAGTGATACTCAGCATTTACTTTCCTAAATTTGAAATTGCGGCAGAATAGAAATGTCCCAAATACGCTTTACGGTGCCAGAACCGCAGTACTCTATATACTATATCAGACAGTCCCCGTATGCGTTCTTCTTGAGATGAGATTGAAGCACACAGCTGGATCTCACTGGACCCGATGTGGCCGGGACGAT